AAAAACTTAGTTATATATTATTGAAAAAATGCACAAGATATAACAAATACTACCCAAAATTGTGCACTTGAAAGCAAAGAATCATGCACTTGGAGGCATAAAAATGTGCACTTGAAGGTAAAAAAAATCTACAGTGAAGGAAAAAATTGTTCGCTTGAATGCTAAGTTTTTTTTTTTTTTTTTTACACAATACTAAAACACACATACACTTTTAGGCATTAAATTGAGCACTTGAAAGGATAAAGAGGATCACAAGAAATCAAGGGAGAAAAAAGGACACTAAAAGGAAAAATTTGAAGGAAATTAATTATGCACTCTTAGAAAGGAAAACATGCACTTGATGGCTATAAAATGTGCATTTGAAGGCCAAATATTTTCACTCAAAGGCACAAAGATGTGCACTCAAAGAAGAAACTAAGTACTAAAATAAAAATGATGCACTCGAAGAAAGGAAAAATGTGCACTCGGATACAAAAGACAAGCTGACTTATTTACTCAAAATTGCAAATATGCTACCGCACATTTTTAATTAAAATTCAATTTGGACTGTTGATTTGGATTGCATCTACGGCTGAAAATTGTCCGCATTTTTTACCTGTTGAGACTATTTTATGTGATTATATATATATATATATATATATATATATATATATATATATATATATATATATATATATATATATCACTACAAGAAATTTCACATTTAGTGAAAACAGAATTTGTCACTGAAACTATCATTTTTGATCACTATTGAATTTAGTGACCAATTTTTGAAGTCGTCACATGTCGTCACTATATCCTCCGTCACTATTGTAGTAGTGACGACTTTTGAAAAGTTGTCACAATTACTCACTACTTTTGTGACAATATTTACTTACACTAAAAGTAATATTTGAGTGATGATGATAGTTGTCACAATAAATGTATAATTTGAGACCAAATATGTTATTACAAAAAATTGATCTAGTGACAACACTTTAAGGTGGTAACTAATAAATTAGGCTGAACTCGGGGCCAACCCGGTCGACCACCACCCTGTCCCGAGACTAGACATGGCTCGACCTACGCCCAACCTATTTGGATCGATTCGAACCTGTGACCTCAACTCTAATACTAATTGATAGATTTTAGCGTTCCACTATGCATATTTCCCAGTAAGTCACCCACCTTGTAAGTCAAGCACGCTTAACCTTGAAGTTCTTTGGTTATCTGTTGTCATATCATTCTTAAAGTCAATTAGTGATAAGTATGGACTTTTTAACATTTGTATTAGAATGAATTGAAACAATTGACTTGTGGAATTATTTGTTAGATAGCTTCCGTAAATGATAATGAACTTATATGTCACAAAAAGAAAGTAAAAAAATGAGCGATTATAAAATGTTTTTAATGTATTCTCAAAAAATAAAATGTATTTAATTTTCACAATTACATGCATTTTTTTAAGAATCACTAACTAGTTGCATTTTAATTGACCATATTATTTAATATTTAGTTCACAACAAATTACTTTGGCACCAACTTGAATGCAATTTTAGTGGCAAATATTAATTACAACATAACTTCACACAAATATTATTCTATTTAATTATAGTGACAATATCATTATAACAAATAATTACTCGCACAATTATTATAACATTAGTGACAAAACTTGAATTCAACACAATTATTGTTACAATTTGGTACTTTTTGTTAGGAAATAATAGAACGTCACAAATTAAATATTTCTCACAATCGTATCTTATATCTAATTGTATTTTTATTGACAAAAAGAATTGTCACAGATATATAAAACAGAGTGACCAACAACTATTTGTCACAAAAAGTACCAAAATTTGTGTGCCACACTATATTTTGTCACAATTACTTTCGTTCCCCCTATAATAATAATGCCGCCAAAACACACATACATTTAGTGACATCAAATAGTGACAACTTAGGTTACGACACTATCATTCTAGTAATAGTGACAACTTATTGGTAACAAATACTTAGTTGTCACAATTACCATACTATCTGTGACCAAAAAAATAGTTGTCACACTTATAATAAGCAATAGTGTTGAACTATTTTTTAGTCACAAAAAGGGTATTATTTGTAACTAAATTACGAAGTGTCACAAAAAATTTGTCACTAAATGTCTTAATTCTTGTAGTGTATATATATATATATATATATATATATATATATAACATGAGAACTGTGGACAACTTTGGTCTATCGATCTTGGATACATGCATGTGATTTTTAATTTTTTTTTTCAAATTTATTCACCATTTTATTTACATACGAGTGCTTTATTAATTTTGGTTTGTGTTTTGAAGGTTGGAATAATTATACAAGGATGTTAAATCTTTTATGCTTGATTTTAAGAGTTGAATTTATTATAAATTAAGATTTTTTTACTAATATACTCTCTTTTGTGTGAGGTTCTTTTTCTATCTTATTTTGAGTTTTTCTTCTTCTACGTTTTTTTCTAGCCATGGAATCAAATTGATTTTTGTGTTTTTTTTAATTATATACCTTTTGAGTATAATATTATCTATATTTGTGATTGACATATGTATAATTTTCGCAGGCAATGTACTAGTGGGCACTGTGGCCTCCGTAAGTATGCATTTGCACGGTTGGTTTCTCTCGGCTAGGTTTTCATCATATGTATGCACCTTGTAGTGGACTAGTGTGCACTTTGTGTTCATATGATCTGTGAGTGCATTGTAAACTTAGCGTGTGTGTAGTATTATACATATGCGTACGCATTTTCTTGTGATATTATTTGCATTTAATGATGTATTTGTGCACTAATCACGTATGTCAATCAATTAGGGTTTTTGATCTGTCTTCCTTATTGGTAGTGGTGATGCATGATGTATATGTGTATTTTAATGTGAACGTGTATACAATGCAATGTATAAGTGTGACATGTGTACACTATAGTAGATATACATATGCATTTGTTTGTAGTGTTATTTGTATCTAATTATGTGTTTGTACACTAGTCAAGTATGTGAATTTACTGAATTTTTTATTCTTGCTTTCCTTGCTAATGGTGTAAATGTGCATTTCAATGTGAATGTGTGCGCATCTATTCCTCATAATTCCCTCCTTGCAACCAAACGTGAAACGCCCCATTATAAGGCTCAAATTCCATTAAAATAGCGCCCAAGATGCAAAGTTATAATTTAATTTCAAATTACAGAATATGTGAAGCTGTTTAAAAACTGAACTTCATATTCAATTTTTTTTTGGAATAAATTGTCATTGTATAGTTATTACAAATTATGTTCTATTCCTAGAAAATCCTGTAGTATTCTTACGTTAATACACTCAATATTTTTACTACAATTATCGCTTTTACTATTTTACCCCTTTAATTTATGCGAGCTTAGATGGTCTGTACAATGGTCACGCACCCATGAAAACCACCTTTAATGTGAAAACGTGATAACTAATCTAAACTATTAAATCAGAATGATGCACGAATGTGATTAACATGAATGAATCACATGGATTAAGGAAACAAATTCCTTTAAAATGTTAAAAAAATATAGAGATAAATCAGTCTTATTATAAGCTGTACATAACGTCGTGCATTCATATACCGAATGTCATGCATCGATAACTCTCTGGTTGTGCATTTAAACACTGCCAAAAAATCCTACGATCCATCACGCTAAGTGCACTAATGCACATCTCACCAACCTACGATGCACAACTTACAACACTGAGTTGCACAACCAGCACACCCGAATGCATAACTGTACTATCCAGACGTGTATATATACACCAACATCTAAATATAGTCAATATTAATATTATACTTAAAAAAAACGAGCAAAAGAATACAAAATACAGGTCGATTTTCATGAACGAACACTCAATCAATGATGAAGAAGTCACGGCTCTAAATTGCAACGGTGATATTTCAAAAAAATAAGAAACAAATTTGGCCAAAGATTACACCTGTGCTCATAAACCTTCTGTTTGGATCCTGTGGTTTCCTGGCCTGCCGCTATCCTAGCTTAGCTTGCAAGAAATTCTTTGCCTCAGGATTTCAAATGGAGAAGAAGTTGTTTGATTCCAGACCTTATTATTTCTGGCCTGCCACAAACTCCAACAAATTAAACCATCATAATTTCACAGAAAGTTTAACTCCAGCCAATGTTGAAAGGATCCAAATAAGTCTGAAATAGGAATTTTCATGATCAGATCACAATCTCTTTGATTAAACAGATCTACCAAGATTTCAGTATCCCAGTAAACCAGCCTCAAATAACCACATTAGTGTATGTTGTTCAATTTGGTGATGGAAGTATAAAACAGTGCTGCCATATCAAATTATCACTCAAAATACATAATTGTGAAATTGTAAAAAATGTCCCTCTATAATATGTCAATTATCAATGTCACCCCTGAATTATGAGTGGTGTAAATGTTGCCCCTCAATTATCAAAATGGTGCACATATAGCCCCTCCCGTAACGGACCTGTGGTTCCCCACCGTTGTCCATCGCTGGTACTTCGAATCGAGGGAGGGAAAAAACAACTAAATTACATATTTAGTTCGACTTAACAGTGTCGTACACTAACGGGGGAACCACATGTCCGTTACGGGAGGGGCTATATGTGCACCGTTTTGATAATTGAGGGGCAACATTTACACCACTCATAATTCAAGGGTGACATTGATAATTGGCATATTATAGAGGGGCACTTTTTACAATTTTCCCAATTATAAATTAACCATTAGGCACAAAATTCATACAGTACCAAAGTTCCATCCAGATTTGGAGCAGGAAATGTAGTAATGAGCTTCTAAGTCTTCTACTAACCTGGCTAATCACTACATAGCTAAAACAAACATTGAAACAGAAGCTTCCTGCATCTTTGATTCTTTTTCTTCTAGACTAGAAATGGATCAGGAAGCACAATACATTATTATGTACACAACTAAATCATATAATCTAAAGGTCAGGTATGCCTCAAACAGGTTAGAGGTCACCAAGGACTTGTAGCCATCTTGCAGAAAGCCATGTCGCATATCAGGAATTCTGTCACAAGACCTTCTTTTTCAACTCGAACATCCATCAAGGCTTCTTTTAGTTCCATAAGCTTCTTCTCAACAGATTCTATTTCTTTGTTCAACTTACTTTCTTCAGTTATGATTTCACAATGCCTACTTGCTTCATGGGAACCTTGAAATTCAATTGCACGATTTGAAAGTTTGCTTAGTCGCTCTTGCAGAAAACCAACGTCCATACCCAATTGCATAAAGCCGGATAATGTGTTGTCCCAACTCTTGAAATCAGTCAGAGGTGTGGAAAGGGTACAAGCTTTGATATTGTCAGCTATGCTAACTGTTTCCAAGATGATCCCAACAGCCAACATATAGTTAATGTTCTCAGCAAATCCATCATGTAGATATGATTTCTGAGCACAACACAGCTCATAGTATTTCACACGTGCTGAGATGGAGAATTTCGAGTCCACTGGGCACCCATTTACAGCAATGCTAAAATTTTTCAAGTCCACAAACGATCCAGTGGAACTGACAACCATAGTTTCTGCAGGGGAACCCTCCTTATCATTCTCAGAAATGAACCCTTCATCCCCTAACTCATAATTCGTTTCTGGTTGGCCATCATTTTGACAATTTTCTTCAAGATATGGTCTTTCATGCATATGATCCGAATTGTTTGCTCTCACTGTGTAAACCTGGGGAAATGCTTACATTGTAAGTTGATAAAGTTGGGAGCTTTTCTACATTACAAGAACTAGAAATATTTCCACAAACAATACACAGGGCATAAAGCATTCATGTGATGTTTTCACTGTCATTATGTTTGTCCACAAACAGATGAGTTAGATATCAGCCATATTTTAAAGTGCAAATAATAGTTTGGGAGCCCATTTCATGTGACCCACTGAAGTTTACATTTTACTTCACTAAGAACTAGGAGAATACTTGTAACTTAATCAACACTCTTACAAAGTTATGGAAATGTAATTCTAGCACAGTGCTATATTTTGTGAGGGATACACTGGAAAACAAACAGATATTCTTAAACTAGTGTTGAAATATATAGTTACCTTGAATTTATATTGCTGTACTAAGTGAAAGACAGCTGCATCACCTTCTTGCAAGTTATGGGCAAGGGAGAATCCTCTCCATCCACCACTAAGTCCTTGTCTTTCTGCTATGAATTTCGCCTCAAACTGCTTCTCATTGTCACCCTCCAATGGTATTGTATGATCATTAGGGGGTAAGTACATTCTACAGAAATCCGCTGGAAGGGCCTGTAGCATAGGTACTTTTGAGGTTGAATTCTGATAAATCTATGGTTTTTTTTTTTTTGTTTAATTAAAAAAACACTGCACTTACCAACCAAAATTCCTGTGTAACATGGGAACGGCTCAGGAATTTAATAAAGCTTGGTTGGGTTGGGTCAAGACTGGCTTGTAGGGCCTTTGCTTTCTGCATGGTAGGTGAAGAAAGGGCTGCAGATTTCATTACCCTTGCTCGTTTCCTGTGTTACATATAACAAAAGTTAGGATCAAATAGTAAAGAAATCTCTAAATTCTCACAGTTATTAGTTCAAGTATTCACTAACCTATTGGTGGCTGAGGCTTCACCGACCAGAGGAGTTCCCTGCACAAAGAAATGAAATGAAATGAAATGAAAACCGCTTCTTAATCACCATCCCTTGCTACTCAAATTCTTATTTACTAGTTCTTGGGCTTGGCATGTAATCAGATACGAAAAACAAGAGATTTCCCCCTTTTTTTCCAGGAAGAAATCCCAGTTCCATTTGAATATACACATTAAAAATTCAGAACAAATAAAGGTGGCAACTTTGTGAATATAACTTGAAATGGAAAATGTATCTCCAGGGAACTAAAAAAGATGCAGTGTAAGAATAAAATAAAAAGAAGAACACTGACCATAGAAGGAGAAACAGAGGAGCTTGATTTGTTCATGAAGCACTGGTACAGGTTCAGCTGGTCTATTCCTCCTTCTTCTTCTTCTTCTTCTTCTTCTTCTTCTTCTTTGATCACTGGTTCTTCTTCTTCTTCTTCTTCTTCTTCGATCACTCGTTGTTTGGAATTCTGCTCGATCACGGATTCACTCACCATTGTTGGGACCACGCCTACACTCGCCATGACTAAATAAGCGTATCCTCGCTTTTCGCGTAAGACGTCAAAATTTTTCTATTTTTGCATAGTGTGTACAACACTAGTAGACTATAACTGTACAATATAATGTATTGGACTGGAGAATGGAGATACTTATTAAAAAAAAAAAAAAAGGATCAAAAGTATTATTTTCTACAATATTATTACTTACTTTTTGTCATGCGATTTGAAAAAAAAAAAAAAAAAAAAAAGATTTCCTGACTAATTCATTTTTTTTAATTCCTCCAAACAGTTCATTTTTTCAAATTTAAAATAATTACAAATTTAATACATTAATGCTAAATATTTATGTCGACAAACATTAATAAAAATTACAGTAGATATATAATTTATTAACGGGATGTACATAATATATAGGGAAAATTATAAAAAAAGGTCCCTCTATAATATGCCGATTATCAATGTTACCCCTGAATTATGAATGGTGTAAATGTTGCCCCTCAATTATCAAAATGGTGCACATATAGCCCCTCCCATAACGGGCCTGTTGTTCCCCACAGCTGTCCATTGCTGGTACTTCGAATCGAGGGAGGGAAAAAACAACTAAATTACATATTTACTCTGACTTAACGGTATCGTACACTAACAGGGAACCATATGTCCGTTACGGGAGGGGCTATATGTGCACCGTTTTGATAATTGAGGGACAACATTTACACCACTCATAATTCAAGGGTGACATTAATAATTAACATATTATAGAGGGGCATTTTTTACAATTTTCCCTAATATATATAAAAGGGGAAATTGTAAAAAATGCCCCTCTATAATATGTCAATTATCAATGTCACTCATGAATTATGAGTTGTGTAAATGTTGCCCTTCAATTATCAAAATGGTGCATATATAGCCCCTCCTGTAACGAACATGTGGTTCTCCACCGCTGTCCATCGCTGGTACTTCGAATCGAGGGAGGGAAAAAATAACTAAATTACATATTTACTCCGATTTAACGATGTCGTACACTAACAGGGAACCACATGTCCGTTACGGGAGGGGCTACAATGATAATTGAGGGACAACATTTACACCACTCATAATTCATGGGTGACATTGATAATTGACATATTATAGAGGGGCATTTTTTTTACAATTTTTCCTATATAAAATAGTCCATTATACACATTATTGATCTTGGTCCATAATATAATAATTGTAATAAAATAAAGATATATAATTAAAGTTTTATTCTCCAACATTTCAAAATAAAGATATATAATTAAAGTTTTTTTTTTTTTTTTTGTGGTACGAACAACTTAATTCATTATATCATCTCCAAGACAAGTTACAAGAAAAAACGGTGGCACATCAAACCACTCCCCACAATCCGGCATAGAAACAGTCGCCCGAGCTAGAGTATGGGCAACCTGATTCGCAGATCGTTTTACAAACCGGAATTCGACATCATCAATGGTAGATGCCAATTCTTTAATATCCCCTACCAAAAACCCAAACGAAGAGAAAAAAGATTCACTAAGAATAGCATTGCAAAGCAGCTGTGAATCTGTTTCGGCATCCACATTACCCATACCCGTATCCTTCAGCCAACTTAGTGCCTCTCGCGTACACATGGCCTCGGCCTCTCTAGGTTCGAAAAACCCCATCATCCTACCATTCTTGGCAGCCAGAAATCTACCATCATCATCTCTTAGCACCCATCCGAACCCCACCCTACCATGCTGCTTATCAACTGATGCATCCGTATTCAACTTGAGCTTTCCCCTTCTCGGCCTCTCCCACCGCTCCACTATCTCCCCAGTCTGCTGACCGCCATTTACATGCTGTGCCGCACCCCAATTCTCCCAAAACACCATGGTGCGCCGCAACATCAACTCCAGGTCCCAAGGTTTCGCGTTCCAATCCGAGTCATTTCTGGCCGTCCACAAACCCCAACACAACATCAATAACTTGGACATTTGATCATGTGACAACACTGCAATGCAATTAAACAGCCACTCAACCACACTACCTCATGTGACATGGGTGATCAGAAGCCCCAGCTTCCTCCGCGCCACAACAGCCTCACGACAGGTAACAAAAAGATGATGCGCACTCTCATTCTCCTCCCTGCACATGTGGCAAATTATATTACAATCAACATGTCGTGTTAACAGTGCATCACGTGTTGGTAAATATGAAGCTGCCAGCTGCCAACCAAACATTCTAACTTTTGGTGGAACATTAAGATTCCAGATTGAAGCCCATGGCCTCGGGTCCGTAACATGGGAAGCAAGATGTCTATAACAAGATTTCACCGTAAAAACGCCTTTACTATCCCATTGCCACACCCAAGTATCCGGTGGTTTACGAATACTAATTGGTATTTGTAGAATCAGATTAGCATCTCTTGTATTAAACAAATCCCTTACACAATCCACATCCCAGTACGTACCTTGTTCATTCAACAAAGAAGCAACGGGAGCACTTGCTACTGACTCATGCAATACCGTCTGCACATACGGGAAATCATCAACCGGCAACCACGGATCGGTGCATATCATAATACTCCGACCATCCCCCACACACCGTCTCCCTCAAGACTTGTTGAACTGCCCTCATTCCCCGCCAAATATACAAAGGGTTGGACCCTTCTTCTGCTTCAAAATAGGAACCTCGGGGATAATACCGTGCCTTATACACACGGGCTACGAGCGAACTCGGATCCTTAACAAGACGCCATGCCTGTTTAGCAAGCAATGCTAAATTCATCTCCCGCAATGTGCGAAAACCCATCCCACCCTTATTCTTCGGTACACACAGTCCCTCCCATGAACGCCATCGGACTCCCCTCCCATTCACCGCTACACCCGTCCACCAAAAAGAGTTCATAATGACCTCAACCTCCTTACATAAAGTAACAGGGAAAAGAAAAACCATCATGGCGTAGGCCGGCATGGCCTGAATAACATTTTTGAGCATAACCTCACGACCTGCCCTGGAAAGAAACCTCGCATTCCAGGACCTTACCTTCGATAAAATTCTTTCTTTAATAAACCCAAGGACCTCCTTCTTTTTCCTGCCGACTAATGAAGGGAGGCCTAGATACCGACCTGTAGTATCTCCATCATGAACCCCCATTATCGTCACCACCTCATCTCTAGTATGACCATCCACATTAGAGCTAAAGCACACAACGGACTTCTCATAATTTATTTTTTGGCCGGAGGCAGCAGAATAAGTATCTAGCACCCTCATTGTATTACTTTCCTGAAGATTAGCCCTGAAAAACAGAAAACAATCATTTGCAAAGAGTAAGTGAGAGATTGGAGGTGCCCCCGCGCTACCCTCACCCCATGCAAACTCCCATGTCGCATTTGTTTTTCTATTAACACACTAAGGCCCTCTACCACAATCAGGAACAAATACGGAGATAACGGGTATCCCTGTCGCAACCCCCGCTCCGGCAGAATTAGACCAACCTGTTTTTGTTCATGGAGCACGTGGTACCGCACGGAGGTTAATGTCTCCAGCAGAATATCTATCCATCTTCTCGCACAGCCCAACTTAAGCAACATAGCCTCAACAAAACGCCACTCAACACGGTCGTAGGCCTTACTCATATCTACCTTTAACACCACGACACCCTCACGACCCTGAGTTTTCCTCTTCAGATAGTGGTGCGCCTCATATGCAAGCATAATATTATCACTTATGAGACGCCCTGGCACAAAAGCACTTTGTGCTACCGAAATCAACCTATTTAGCAAAACCTTTAAACGATTGGCACACACCTTACTAGCCCCCTTATATAGCACATTACACAGTGCTATAGGCCGCAAGTCCATCATTGTTTCTGGTCTAGGCTTCTTCGGGATTAGGACAATATACGTCTCATTTGCTTTAGCCAGGAGCTTGGCCGTTTCCACAAAAAGATCTGCAAAACTCAGTCACCGCGCCCCCAACAATATCCCAATAGTGTTGGAAGAGACCCGGCCCCATCCCATCCGGCCCCCGCGACTTATCCGGATGCATCTGAGTCACCGCCTTGCGTACCTCTTCTGAACTAAGCGGTCTTAGGAGCAACTCATTATCCTGATCAGTAACCTTCGGAACAATGCAGTCAAGAACCTCATTCATATCCCCCTGTTCCGACCCATACAAGCTAGCAAAATAATCCACCATAATCCCCTCTACCGTACCCAAACTCCTCCATCCATACTCCCTCAAAGTTCCTGAGCTCATGCAGCCTATTCCTCCGCTTCCTTGCCTTAAAAGAATTATGAAAAAACTTAGTATTAAGGTCACCTTCTCTGTACCAATGCTCTTTAGCCCGCTGCTTCCAGAAAATGTGTTGTTGCTCAAGTAAAAACAATAACTCTTTCTCAACACGAGCATATTCTACTAGCCCAGCCTCATCCCGTCTCGGCCTCAACATATTCAACCGATGTTTGCATCTTTCTATCTTAATATGAAAATCTTTATTATATGTGCGTCCCCACCTCCAAATATCCCTACTGCACGCCTCAATCCTTGATAACACATCAAGACCTGCAGAGGTATCCCAGCTATGCGTGACTATCTCCCGACATCGGTCCTCCCTTAGCCACATATTATCAAAACAGAATCGCCTCGGGACCACTCTACGCGTCTCCACTGCCGGTAATAACAACAACGGAAGATGATCACTGTACGGGGTGATCAACGAAGTTGCCGTTGCAGCATCATACATCGTCAGCCAAGTCTCAGACGTTAATATCCTGTCCAGCTTCTCCTCCACCATATGTGGTGTACCCCTGGACGGTACCCAGGTAAACTGATGACCACCAAAAGGAAAATCCAATAATCCACAATCTGCAATCGCATCCCTAAACCCCGCAATTAGCCACTCTGGATGGGGAGTTCGACCTCTCTTCTCAGACTGGTGTAGCAATTCGTTAAAATCACCCATTACTACCCCTGGCACATTACTCTGTTGTGCTAATGTTCGAAGTAATTGCCATGAGTGTCGGCATTCCCGTCGATCAGAAAACCCATTAAAACCCGTAAACCGCCAAACTGGCTTACCAACATCCAGTGCAATAGTTGTGTCAACATGATTAGCCGAATACCCAGTGATTTCAAGCAAAGCCATACTAGTCCAAAGGAGTGCCAATCCGCCACTATGCCCATCAGCATCTACCACAAACATATTATCATACCCCAACGTAACCCTCACATGCTCCATCTTATTCTTGTCAACAAAGGTTTCCATAAGAAAAAGTACCCTTGGCCTCTTTGAGCGAACCAAGTCCGCCAGAACACGAACTGTCGTCGAGTTGCCAAGCCCCCGACAATTCCATGATAATAAACTCATAAGTCTGGGTGGGCTTGCTCCGCAAGTCCCGCCGCTTCCCCGTTTTTGATACCCCAGCTTCAACCTCCATCAGCTCACTCTCAATATCAGTCGTCCTTCTCCTCTTCTGTTCCGAAATTCTTGCGCTCGGAACACCATCATCCTCAGACCCCTTCCCATTCCCCTCAGGTTCGGCAGTGGCCAATATAGCATCAGCCTCCATCGTCGGGGACCTCCAGTTCCTTCGCTCAATTGTTGTTTCCGAGGGAATCCATTGCTGTCTCGAGTTTGGAACACCCTTTCGCGAACCCGCCCTCATCCACACACCATAGGGCTTTTCTGCTTTCAAATCTGCCCCATGAACAATCTTTGAGCAGAACTTCTCCCCGTGACCAATTACCCCACAAAGGAAACAGAATGTCGGCAGGCGCTCATACCGGAAATCTACATACACCCAAGAACCATTATCCTTCTTCAATTTCATCTGCTTCTTCAACGGCTTGGCAACATCTATCGCAACTCGCACCCTATAGAATAGGCGCATCGAGCCATCAAAATTGCGATCATCCACATGTATCAAGGTTCCCAAGAAGGAACCAATGGCCTTTACCACAATCTCAGAACGGAAACCCGCGGGTAATGAATGAACCTGCACCCAGAACTCAGCCTGATCCAACGCCATTGCATATGGGTCCTCCCCTAGATCGAGTCGCTTCATGATCAACAAACTCTGCTCATATGTCCAGGGCCCTACGTTAATTACGCGTTCAACATCAGCTTCATGGTAGAACCGAAAGAGGTATCTACGGGACTCCAATTGTCGGGTGTTCACCCCCATTGCCGGCCGCCATACCGCAGCCATGGTATCCTGGAAAAATGGAAACCTAATCGGCTTCTGAGTAACCAATCTTCCTACGACATAGTACCCCTCCTCAGAATCAGGTTGATTCTTTGGCACATTGGGCACTTGCATGGCCACATCGTCATCCTCCACATCTGCTAGCGTTAAGTTGGCACACTGGTTTGTAATCTCAGCCGCCATGTCTAGCGGATCATGGTGTTTTCCAATTAATAAAACCACAACAAAACTCGAAAACCCTAATGAAAATGATTGATTACGTTATGAGTAACATCAAATTGAAAAGGACACTAATGTCGGCTTCTTAGAGAGTAATGTTAGTTTGAGCATCACCAATAGAAATTTTTATATGATTTTTTCAAATTCAAAAACTAACATGTACAGTGAAGTTTTTCTAAATATTTTTATTCTTGCGAATACAATTTTTATGTGGTCCATTAAATATGAATAAAAGCAAAACCTACGTTGCAAGTGTAAAAATTATTTTTTCGATCGGTCCACACATGTTTACTCTCTCTCGAATTGTCGACTTCGCACAACTCAGATAGTGGGGGCTGATGATGGAGCTATTGGAAAGCGTCCAAGAATAGGGACCCGCGGTCCAGGAGCCCAGAGGCTGGGGCCCAAGATAGAAGACCCATGCCTAGCAAAAAGGGCCCAGAGGCCTAAGACAAAGGACCTAAATGAGGCTACTCAAGTCGGGTGGTTGGGCTCGAGAGAAGGGACCTGGGTCGGGTCATCGTTCTGCCTCAGAACCTGTCTCCTGGATCGGAGTGGCCAGATTTGACCTAACCCGCGGCCCACCATGTGGGTTGATTTTGGATGAATCACTAATTACTAATTTTAGTTGAATATTGTGATCGTTTATGAATTGTGGTGAAGATCACATACGTATTAAATTTAGTCATTTAATTTCAATAATTGTTGCATATTTTTGTGTCTTACCGTGTACATTTCTACCTTCCAGTGCATATTGTTATGCCTTCCAGAGCACATTGTTGTATGAACCTTCCGGTGGACATTATTGTAGATCGTAAATGGTGAATTTTTTGTTTTTAAATATGATTTGATTTAAGGCTGAGATTCCTCTGACCACCATTTTGGAATAGTAACAGAGATGCCATTATAGTAAAATTGATCTATATAACCATTAACCAAACAAGATAATATTACATATTCACAATCTAAACCAAACATACAAGGTAATCTTACATTTCAAATTCTCATGTTACGTTTCATGAGGTAATTCTATTACCTAAAGTAATGTTTCATTTCAAAATCTCGCATTATATTACTTTTTCATGAGGTGTATTGCCTAAGTTAATCTCACATTATGTGAACCAATTGTCCTTAGTTTGATGTTTGTATTCATCCACAACATGACAAGAATCCATTCTAATGCTGGCCTTCATTTTGAAAAACTCCTAAATATGACTTGACAAATTTTATTGAACTTCTGCGCTTGTGATTATCTTTCCATGCAAGATCAATAATATTACAGAGATCAACAATCAAACCATGAGAACATACAAAAGAAATAAATAAATAAAACGAAGAAGTAATATAAGATGACTAATCAGGATTTGAGGTTTTCTCATAATCATTTAAGTTGATAAGATATTTAGCTACACCTACAACATCTCGACCATTTACCCTTACAATGTTAACCTAAAAAAAGTTATCCTAATTAATAACCAGTAATATATATTACTTTCTCTAAGAATTAACAACTATATATTCCTTTTAAACACAGTAATAGAAGTTGACTACAGAACAGTCCTAGTGAAATTGGTATTCAAAAATCAAAGTAAACATGTTACCAACTTATCACAATTTTCCACTCAGTACGTGGCATCTTTAATTTCATGCACATAATGTGCATATTGTGTGCCTGATATAGGCTTCACATGTGAACTAAAAGAACTTTAAAAAAGATAATAAGGTACCTTTAATTTGTAGGGTTCAGTTAAACGAAAGATCAAAAGATTCCCTTTAAGTAGTCGGTGAGCGATTGAGAATGCTCTCCAGCCAGCACTCAATCCATGCCTCCACAAAAGATAATTAGTTTTGTATTCATTCCCCCATTCATCTACCAACTAAGATGAATTAACGCACAACCATATCACAACAATGCACACCCCACCGTGAGATTACATTTTAAAATAAACAAGTAAAACACACATGAAGTATATAACCGGCACTTAGAATAATTTTTTTTTTTTTTTAAAGAATCCCAATGAAAGAGTTAGTTCCAAAAAAAAAAAAAAAAAAAAAAACACACACACACACACACACACACACACAAAAGAACTATTTTTTTTAAAAAAAAAATGATGCAAAATCTCCCACAACGTAAAGCGCACACGCCATAACACTGCAATGCACACAACACTGTTACTCTGTTAGATTACATCATCAAATACAGCAGTAAAACCCCCTTAAAAAATAATTAAAAAAAAAAAAACAACATGAATTGGATGAGAATCCGTGCGTATATAGTAGTGTCAATGCTGCTAAAATATTATATTTATTCATTAATTCCTTTTTCATATAATTTATCACAACTTACCCACCACATAAAACACATGCACACAACTAAGTCATTCAGACTTCTACCTTTAATTAAATTCATACACTCCTCCCTAATTTTCACAATATTCTTTCATACTCCGTTCAAGCTCTGTATACCAATAATACAAGTTTAGAACACCACGCACAAACAATTTGAAATAAATGCACATGACATACCACACCGATACAACGACCAAAGTTCACAAAACGCACATGCCATCCCGAACCTACGCACACACCAAGATCAAATACCCCACTCAAACAAAGATTACTTCCTAATGATTTCCATTTGCTTTACGGATTCAAGAGCTCTACCCCACTCAAACAAAAATAATGAACTCAAAAATCCCAATTAGTATTGCAGTCAAGTTTCTTCAAGACGAAAACAAATACCCAAAAACAATAAACAAAACGAAGACATACCCACGCCCGGAAACTTGATGCAATTGGGGTAAGATAAATGATCGTGAAGCCTTCCAAACCTGAAGCTCCCTCGATCACTAAAAATTCACCTGAAAGTTAGTGAGATAAATGAAATTGGGTGAGCTCTATTCCTATATACTGATAGTTAATTATCTGGTTCTAAATGGGCAAATAAGAACCCCCCCCCCCCCACCCGTCAAACACCTCTACACTCACGGCACCCCCACCACTGAAACATATAAAAAAACCTTTAAAAAAAAAAAAAAAAAAAAAGCAAACCCTAAAACAGCTACCAAAAAGCCCAACATGTCAACTCTACCGCCCACCACCGATGAACACCCCGTCCACAAACCCCCCGAGTAAAGACCCAACCCCCCCCCCCCCCCGCCACCCCAGAGAAAAACCAACCCAATTTCTTCCCTGCGTACAGCAGCAATAGACCGACGACCATGACCGGCGAAGCAGCGGCATCAGCGAGCCCTATTTCTTCCCTGCGATTGGACTTCTCCGGCAGTAATGCGGCCAAAATCGAAGGAGGCCGGCTACCTTGCGTGATGCGTGGTGAAATGAGAGGTGAAGAGACGTCCAATAAAAGAGAGATAAATATTGATTAAGGAGAGTTGAAATAACGCTACAAATCTTTATAAACATGGAAATAAATTAAATAGAAAGTAATAAATACAGTGCTTAAGGACAAAAAGACCTCTGCTTCATCTAAAATCAGTATAACATGGGATCCAAGTGAAATCAATCTAAATCGTTGAAAAATAAAAATAAACGCACAGAATGTGGGCTTACGAACTCACCTGGCTAGGGGGTTGCACCGGATTCAAAAGGAGTGCTATATATATCATGAGAACTGTGGACAACTTTGGTCTATCGATCTTGGATACATGCATGTGATTTTTAATTTGTTTTTTCAAATTTATTCACCATTTTATTTACATAGGAGTGCTTTATTAATTTTGGTTTCTATTTTGAAGGTTGGAATAATTATACACGGATGTTAAATCTTTTATGCTTGATTTTGAGTTGAATTTATTATAAATTAAGATTTTTTTACTAATGTACTCTCCTTTGTGTGAGGTTTTTTTCTATCTTATTTTGAATTTTTCTTCTTCTACGTTTTTTTTTTCAGCAATGGAATCAAATTGATTTTTGGGTTTTTTTTTTTTAATTATATACCTTTTGAGTATAATATTATCTATATTTGTGATTGACATATGTATAATTTTCGCAGGCAATGTACTAGTGTGCACTATGGCCTCCGTAGGTATGCATTTGCACGGTTGGTTTCTCTCGGCTATGTTTTCATCATATGTATGCACCTTGTAGTGGACTAGTGTGCACTTTGTGTTCATGTGATCTGTGAGTGCATTGTAAACTTGGCATGTGTGTAGTATTATACATATGCGTCCGCATTTACTTGTGATATTATTTGCATTTAATGATGTATTTTTGCACTAATCACGTATGTCAATCAATTAGGGATTTTGATCTGTCTTCCTTATTGGTAGTGGTGATGCATGATGTATATGTGTATTTTAATGTGAGCGTGTATACAATGCAATGTATAAGTGTGACATGTGTACACTATAGTACATATACATATGCATTTGTTTGTAGTGTTGTTTGTATCTAATTATGTGTTTGTACACTAGTCAAGTATGTGAATTTACTGAATTTTTTATTCTTGCTTTCCTTGCTAATGGTGTATATGTGCATTTCAATGTGAATGTGTGCGCAATTCTATTCCTCCTAATTCCCTCCTTGCAACCAAACGTGAAACACCCCATTATAAGGCTCAAATTCCATTAAAATAGCGCCCAAGATGCAAAGTTATAATTTAATTTCAAATTACAGAATATGTGAAGTTGTTTAAAAACTGAACTTCATATTCAATTGTTTTTTTTAATGTTAGACCAATACTTTCCAAGACCTTGCATTTTAGCTCTTTGTGTTCAATCACTACATCTTTTACTCTTATCATTCAAAATCCCAAAACTGTTTTGTATAGCAGGCCTTTTTACTGCTACTCAACACCATGGACTTAAGATCTAAAGCACTATGTAATAAGTGGAAAGTTTAAAGTCGAAGCCATGAATATTACACTCATAGAATTGCAACAAGGAAACACTATACTTAACAACTTCACATCTTCTTTACACAGTTGGCCTATGCTGCTCAGT